AAGTGACCGCAGAAACCCCAGGTTCCAGCTACCACTGCGTTTGCAGTATACAAATATGAACAAATTACACACAGTAGGTGTCTCAGAAACGACCTCATTTTGGGGGATATGGATGTGTCTTTCTCTTCACCACGATCTCGCGAAGCGAAGCATCGCCCGGAACCCGATGCACCTTGAAGTCGTCGCCTCGGCGGCTCGGAACGCGACGGAACGCGATGTTCGAGCCGCTTTCGGGGTCCGAGCTGGACCGAGCGTCGTTCGGGGTGTCAACCTGGAGATCCACAAGTACCAGGACCATCCAAGTGTCCCGTCTGGACTACCCTACACTGCTTGGGGATCGGACACCTAGACAAGATGGTGCAGGGACGTCTTGGGGACCGACCCTCACACAGGAAGGTGCTGGTGCAAGTAGTCATGATGCAAAGGATGTGTTCCTCGACCTCTCGTGTCTTCGTTTTGACAGTCAAACTTCATGCCTTTGCCGCGTCTTCGATCGCCATCCACCCCCCCCGCCACCGACCCGCCGGTTCTTCGTGCGGTCCGACTGGAGGAGCTCTTGACGGTCTGGAGCTTTTGGAGCGGACAAAGGGAACCGCCAGAAAGCCCCGAATTGACATGTCTCAGTTTGCTGCAACGAACTGGAGCCACGAAAGGCTGCGAACCTTTTGGGGGGCGTTTCGAAAGGGGACTCCTTCTTGCTTCGCAGAAACTCGCTTCCACACGGTGTGGAAGCAAAGCAGCGCCACACCGCACAAAGAAAACTCGGGGACCTGGTGGGGGACCGGGTCGCACCTCGTCCAGTCCGAAAGGGGGAGGAAGACCTCCGCCCTGTCTCTCTCGTCCGGTCCCAAGGCACGTTCGTCCAAGATCTCCCTCATCCTGGGTCGGAACGGGTTCCGACCCGGTTGGGCTTCGGAACGGAACCGGGGGGGGCGGAAGGAATCCGGAAGGAAGGAAGGACCCCCAAAGCAGGGCTGGGGGCGTCTACTGTAACATTTGGAGGGCGAACGTCGATCGTTCTGCCCTTGAAATTCACGGCCAATTCGAGGTGCTTCTTTTTTTTGCAGGGCGTCAAAACAAAAGAACAGACACGACACGCCCACCCATCTACCTACCGATTGGTGAGATTCGGTGTCTTTTTGAGAACTCAGAAACAGAAACAGCACTCTTCGCTCTTAGGCCATCACTACTGTAGAGGCCATGCCTACTAGGGTGGATGGAGACCATCGCTACTAGGTTGAAAGCCATCGCTAGTAGGTTCCTTAAAGGCTTTCCCGCTCGCGCAACCCAGGTCTGGGCCGAGCGACGCTGGCACCTCCTGGCCCGCGGGCAGCGGGGGCCGGTTGGAGAGGTAGCTCCAAACCCAGGGAGCTTTGATCTTGCAAGAGGTTTGTGAAGCCCAGATTGGTTGTGCTTTGTTCACCCAACTTTGGCCAGCTTAACTTGAATCGACATTTGCACCAAATTGGACCAGCGAATCGTCTCATGATTGGGATACCTCATCCCCAGAGTGGCAAGTGGTCTTGCCTATCTGACGGACTGTTTCGCTCTGAGGGTTGCTGGGGGGGGGCGATCCAACATAAAAGTCCAAGAACCACCAGCCTCAAACGGCAAAAGGCTGTGCATCAAAACCCCACTATGCCTCAACCCAACATCCACATCACCAAGTCTCTAACAACAAAAAGGACCACATGCCAACTTGTTGGGTCCAGCCACCCACACCGACCCTCACCTCAACCAACCCCCCCCACCCAACCCCGCATCTCGCTGGGTCGCGCCTCCCCCCCTTCATGTCAACCGCGCCTCCCTTGGCGGACTGCGAGGGCCCTGGTCACTCACCCCGCGTCTCACCCGTGGTCCGGTCGGCCGCCGGTTCTTCCCGCGGTCTCCTGCACTTCTTCGCGGCCTTCCATGATGCGCACCTCGCGGCCTGGAACGACACGACGGCCAAGCCGAGCCGAGCGGTCAGGCGGGAGCGACCGGACCGGTGGAGTGAAGTCCGACGATCAGCAGCTCTGAGGTTGGTCTTCTCTTGGAGTGCAGGGGGAACTGAGTGAGTTGAAGAACTTCCGGTTCAGACTTCTGGTCCAAAGATGGTCGGTTCCGACTTTTTGGGGGTGATGTGGTGACATCCCTGAGAGCTCCTGAGACTCCAGTGATGACTCATGAACTACCCCTGAATATTTCGGTGAGTGGTGGATGATGGCTTCCAGGTGGGATAGTTCATGAGAAAACGGAAGTTCTGGACATGTTTGGATGAAAGAGAAAAGACCCCATGACTTGGGGGATCAAGAATTTTCCTCCGGGTGACTCATGGGTGCGATAAATCAGTTGCTCAACTGATTCTCTTGGGCGCCCAACACGACCTTTCTTCCACACCCAGTCACCTAGTCCGGTGTACCACAGGTGACCAGCTCATGAGGTGGGCGCAAAGAATTGACCAAGCTCATCCCCAAGCTTTTCCAGGTACCGCGAACGTCGAAGGCGGCGAACGTCTTCTCCACCACTCGCAGTCACGACCTTTGGCCATGAGAAAGACTTGAAAAATGAGGAAGCTAGTTCATCTATCTCTCCAAAACCGGAACCGAGGCCCACTCCAAAACGAATCCAGTTGAGTCTGCACGCCCAGTCTCCCGCAGCGTCTCCGCCCAGTCTCCACGCGTTCCGACGCCGGGTTCACGGCCTTTGGCGCCACCCTGGGAGGTCGTGGCGGTCGTGGCGGTCGTGGCTGTCGAGTCGGAGTGAAGAAGGAGTCTTCCAAGAAGACATAGCTACCAGGAGTCACAAGCTGGGGTGGTCTTTAGTCCCATCCAGTGAGTGGAGTAGCTGGGCACCCCGAAGCTCGGATCGCACCCCGTCTTGTGACTGCTGGTAGCACTTCCAATGAGTGGCTTACGAAGAGTTCGGTGGATTGATGGGCAACACGAGGATGGACCGGCCCATCGGGTCCACCGCCATGTTTTCCCCCAAGTGATCTACACCTGGAGCCTTCCAACTAGGCAACTTTTGTTGAGCCGAGCTTGGCTGCTTTTGTTGACATTGAAAAGGAGAAAACGTTCTGTCTCGTTCGAAGATTCGCCGCGTCCAAGGGGTCACTCATTGACAACCCTACATCGCCGTATACACGCTAGCTAGTATAGAGAGTTTCTCTCCATTGGACACACATTGGAGCACTAGGCAGGTATCATCTTTGGCACGATGGGCCCGAAATGAACATGTTTCTGAGTTCACTCTGAACCCACGAAGCAACGCGAACGACCCGCGTCCCTAGACCTGAACGACCGCCCCCCGGGGCGGTGGACGCGGCAACGGCAACCGGTCGGCCTTGTCGCCCGGCAGCACCGAGGCATCTGGTCGGTGCGGCGGGGTCCGTCTGAAGGTTGGCTGTAGAACTTGGGACCATTGGGGAGTCCAAGACTATACCTTGGAATCTGCATGTGGTGTTTCCTACATGACCTAGCTGCAATTGTCTTACCTGGATCTTCCAACTAGGACAAAGTTAGTCAAATGTATGTCCTTTCATCCATAAAGATCAGCCAAGCTCGGCAGACATTTGGATACCTATACCAGGTCAAGAGGTGTCTATAAACAGCCTCTTAGAGGTGATTTGGGGTGTCCAAAAACCACCGGGCGAGTTTGGATGGTCTTGGTAGATCTTGGCGGCTTTTGTTTGCAAAATGTCTGCCGAACTTGGCTGTGTTTGATGAAAGGGCAGGCATGTTGCATCTCGTTGGAAGATCCCTTTTTTTTCAGTTCCTTGACAAATGATTGAACAAATGATGGAGCTCGAAACCGCACCACCCGCTTTTGCGTCAAGAGGGGCTGAAAACTCCTCGGTGGCTCTTCTTGCAAGCGGGAAGAGCGGTGGAGAAGGACTCCAACCAGTGGATCGAACCTCCGGGTCTGGCCTGTTCCTGGGCTCACCCTCTATTCGGGGACAAGTCCATGGACCACCCGGACTCCGTGCTGAGAGTTGATCGGCCGGACGAAGGCGCAAACCCCATAGGATCAGACCTTTGGGGTTGTGAAGTTGTGACTCGTGACGAGGTGGCGCACGAGTAAGAGTCTGTTGGAGGATGTGCTTGAGGACGCATGTCAAAGCCTTTGCCCAAGGATTCCAACCATAGCTTTAAGGAATGACCGAGGCAGTAGTATTTAACATATGTTACTTACAAAACCAGATCAACCACCTAGGACTTCCGGGGCTTGTGTAGCCTTCCAGGAGTTCCAAGTTGGCTCTTGGGTCCAATGACCAAATGGATCCTGAACACCCCAGACAGGGCAACTGACCCTCCAGCCACTTGGGAAAACATTCGAATACTCGCTTTTGGCACTGCACCGTGCGATTTGGGTAGAATCTTGACTCTTGACCGTTTAGGATCGTCAACTCAACCCCCTTCACGCACCTGCGGACCAACCGAAGACAGGCTCTTCTGCCAAAACTCGCGGACTCCGCGGACTCGCGACCCCACTGAGGCGGCGGACGCATCTCTTGGGCGGCAGCTTTCCTCTGCCTCCTCCGCTCCGCTTGCGCGAGCATCATTCGTCTCACCCTGCACCGGGGCGAAGGGGTCGGGAGGGAACACCGACCTCCGATGTTTGGACCTCTTCGTGGGGTTCCAGTCCAAACCAAAAAAGGGTTATAAACACGAAAAAGTCACGCGCCTGGTTTATGGCGCCGCGCGCCAGGGACCAAGTGCTCTGAGTTGGAAACGGAAGACAGAGAGAGAATCAAAGACGCAGACACCAGGTCGGGTGGTTTCCTGTCGCTGCGGCTGAAACACCCGACCGGCTCGTCGGTGGGAGGCCCTCAGACCTGAGTCTCTCATCCTCATAAGGCCAATCGAGCTCGTCGCGCCTCTTGGAACGGATCCATATCCCTACAAGGCCAGTCTGACCCTGCAAATATGGTCCTTCATAAGACCAACTCCAGTCAAATGAGGTATATTGTCTTTCCATTCGCTGAAGCAAATGGTCTCCTCCGGCATCCTCTTGCAAAGAAACAGCCCTGGAAGTCCGTTTGACCATGTTTAAAAGGGTGATCTGGTTTTGTAGTGTAAAATCCTTAGTAAAGACCATGGTTGTTCGGGATTAAGGCTATTTAATACATGGTGGTTCGCCTTCTAGGGACAGTAAATGACCTTCAAACCACCCGGTCGGATGCATCATTTCCAGTCGTCTACGTCGTTTTGGCTCGGGTCGCTGTGTGGACAGGTCTTCCCTCGCGGAAGTCTCCACACACGCGGCGCCTGACGAAGATGTAGCCGGTGACCACGGTGAGTAGCATCACCAACCTGACCCGACAACACAGCTGGACCGAACCCTTCGGGATGAACGCTAGGACCCACGGTCGGGGCGGTTTCATGGACACCCCTTCACCTCCAAACAGGCCTATCAATAGACACCCCTTATGGCAAGCCGGCAAGGTGTCCTGGTGAGTGGCACAAACCGAGGACGGGCCGAGGTTGGCATGACGGACTTCGCCCAACCGCTGGATCCTCCAAGTTTGGTGCCCAAGAGATCACCTGCTTCCATCGCTCCAACACTCCGTTCGAACAGCCGCTTCCCGGTTCCGGGTCCAAGGTGAAAACCTACGGGGGTGGTCGGTGCGCAATGACAGCGATGTGGATCTTCATCAGGCTCAGTGGGGCACTGCTGTGCCATGGACTGAGCCAAATTGCAAAAGACAATGTGCACCAGCGAAAGCAAAAATGAATCCGGGAACTTCAGGTCAACACTAGTTGGCAGAAAGTGGTCGTTTGCAGGGAGCTGTATTCTGGGTGCACGGGCAGCACTTGGGTGAGCTTGTCTGAGCCAAAGCATCAATAACGATCTTCCCAAACGCTCCGTTCACAGCCCTTGGTCCCTCAAAACCTACGGGGCGGAGAACCCAGACCCCCTCCATAATGAGAAAAACGCGTCTGAGTTCATGTGAACGATAGATAAATAAATTGCAAACTACCAATGATCCACTGGGTCCCTGTTTGGTCTTCCGTTGGGTCTTCCTCAGTCGGGACCGCTTGCCCGTGCCCTTCAACACCCTTCAAACCGTCGGCGGGTTTTGCGTGCCCAACACCACGTGCCCAACACCCCGTGCCCAACACCCGAGCGTCCAAAGCCCAGCGGCAAGACCAGAGGCACAATCAACGCGCTGGCATTCTTCGGATGCTCGTCCGTCTCCACCACTGAGAAACAGCGGTGCCGTGTCGGTGGGGGCAGGTGCCCGTGACGTCGGCACGGTTTGAACAGACATCGGCGACGTACGGAGGTAGAAAAGCAGAGGTGGAAAATGGCTCTTGGATGACCGGTAGAAACGCGTGCTTTTTTCACTTCCCTCAATGTTTTTTTTATTACAGCTAAGTGTAACTGTATCCTCTTGGGTGCTTCTAAAGCACCCATGGCTTAGCTTCACGGCTTCCTTGGGGTGACAAGCATGCCAATGCCTGCGCAACACAAAGTGTAGCCTATTATAAGGATACCATGATCTTCCAAGTATGCCAAAACTCTGCCTTTGCGCTGATTTTATTGTGGATGAAAAGGCATAAATTTGATTAAATTTGTAATAATTGGAAGATCCAAGTAAGACAATTGCAGCTAGGTCTGTACGAAACACCACATGCAGCAGATTCCAAGGTATCAAGGTGCTTCTTCCACGCGTGAGAATTGAAGTTGCTGAAAACAACTGTCTGACTCCACATATTTTCCCACAAAGGAAGGTTACGGCCTCCGATCGAGCATCAAGACCATTCAAGACCAAGACCTGCATTTCACCCTCCAAAAGAATCTACTCCCTCCCCATTCTCAACTGTCTTTCACCATCACGTTTCGGTTCCCGTCCCTAAACAACCTCCAACCTCTTCAACTGTCCCTTCACCAGCGCTGACCTTCAAGCCGACCTCGCTTTCCGTCCGTCCCTGCCCAACCGCCGAGCGGCTCTCGCCCGCTTCGAAGGCCGTGGCGACAAAGACCACGGTCGCCACGGTCTCCGTGCCGTCGACGACAAAGGTTCCCTCGAAGCGCGCGATGGTCACCGTGGACCTCGGAGCGGTGCGCGGCAACCGGGGGCCGAGCGGCCGGGACCGGGGGGGTCCCGGTCCATGCGGTCGCGGAAAGAAGATGGATGGACCTCATCCCCGGTCCTAGCCGCTTGGAATTGTCCAAGGATCTTCCAAAAAGCCACGATTATTGGCCCAACCATTCAGGACCATGTCTCCTCCCCCAACAACGATGTGCCTGCAGAAGATCCTTTTGGATCATTGTATGGTGTATTCTGCGGGTGGCGATGTTGATTCCAGAGTGGGTCATTGGAGATGACTGACTCGTCCAGACTCGCTGGCACGGCTGTCAGGAGGTCCGAATGACTGCTGGCTTCGCCCGGACGCAGCCCGGCGCAGCATGGCGCAGCCTGCCTTCACACTCCAAACGGTTCAGGTCTACCATCCACCCGAGTCTTGCGCCCAGTCTTGCCCGAGACACAACGACTCAACGCCACTGTTGCGAAGTGCCGCCTGACCGTTTGAGACGGCGAACGATGGGGGATCCACATGCGAGGCACATGAACTCTCTTGCTCCATCCAATCTAGTGAATCTAGTGAGCAAGCTCCAGGTATTGGACCAAAGAATTCATACCTCGGCCCAGGTAGACATGTGTTTGATGAACCAAGCTCCTTGGCTCTCCTGTCCCTTGATGTTCCGTTCTTGCCACAAGCCAGGTGCACTCATGTGTACTCCAGCCGTTCCATGTCGGGGTTGCTCAACCACCGCCTTCAAGCCACGGTTTTCGTGAAGAAACCGCTGGGGCACTCCACGCCGGACGCGTCTTCAGCGTCACCTCGTCCCGTCGGCCCGCCTGAACGACCGGCACGTGAGCCGGATCGAAGAGCTGTTCCAGCTCCTCCGCCAGCAGCAGCACCGTGTCGTTCGTGACCCACAGCCTAAGTCCATACGGGGGTCCATGGACCGGCACTGCGACGATCCGGTGAAGACCACGTGAAAAATCGAAGACCAACGGAGCACCAAGCTCGCGACACGGGTGGTGCGGGTCATGTCTTTTCCTTGATTTTTGGGGAGAGTTGTGGATGAAAAACCACCAAAGACTTGAGCACCCGACCGAGGAACGCCAGGAACCGACCTTTTAGTTGTTTTGAGCAACTGAAGGGGGCGAAGGTCTGGAACTCAGGTCCTCGAGTAGGTCAGACTCTTCGTCTTTAAAGACTCTCATGAGTATACAAGTCAGGCCCTGTTGAACATCCAACCAGCACCAGACCTTTGAATCCACCTGCCAATCCTGGGGGAGACCAAGCACCTCCCGTTTCGGACCTGCCCCAGGCAGGCCAGCATCACCAGACCTATACCTTGATCTTCCATCTTCCAACTTTGCCAACATGTCTGCCTTTTCATGTATAAAGCCAGCCAAGTTCAGCAGACATGTTGCAAAGTTGGAAGATCTAGGCATGGAGAAATGCTGAATGTGTACTTCATTATTGAACCTCCAAGCAAACCATGTGAGTGAACACTCACATCTTCCAAGAGCACACAAACATGTGAGTCACCCAGAACGTTGTCCCTTGTGAGTTCAAGCCAGGTCTTTGGTCCCCTTGGTCCTCGGTCCTCGCGACATCCTCGCGAGACAACCGCCGAAAACGGCCGAACACCGTCGACCAAGGCACTCGATCTCGAACAGGAGGTCTACTGCCTCGGTCGTTGGTGAAGCGTCGAGGCGGATGCGACCGTGGATTCTTGTGGATGCTGCGGTCGGTGTTTGTTGGTGAGAGCGTGTTTTGTGGTGCTTTGGGGTGTTTTGAAGCAGGGCAAGAAGTGTCTCTTCTGGTGACTAGGGGGTCTTCCTATGTCTTCCCGTCTGGTGGTTGCCATCACAATCTGCATCTCTAAACCACACCACTGCGCACAGTTTTTTGGAGAACATTCCAGCTATGCCAACCAGTTGTTCTCCTTTCCAAGACCTGGCAGCCACTCATTGTCATTGACTCCCCTCACCACACCACTTGAGAACGTCGGACTGACCAAGGTGCATCCTGCACGTCGGACTGATTCACGCGGACGGTGATGACAGGGCTCATGCGATCCTCTAAGGTTCCATTCAGAATGCTGTAGAGGCTCTGCTCCACAGCTGATTCCGCTAATGAATCCTGCGAGAACGGGGGACGGGCGCCAGAACCAAGTGGCCACGGGTTTGCGGAATTCCAAAAATGCCTTATTAACTTAAAATAGTTGGTTGGACCGTTGGACAACAACGAATAGACCTTCACATAGACCTTCACCTTGCGACTCCAAGAGGTCCCACCAATCCACCAGAACCCGCGCACGACGACGGGCTCCTTCGAGGCGTTCCGGTTGGACCTTGGGGCTCGGTGCGGCGGTCCAGCGTCGGCGCCGTCGGCGCCTTCGGTGGGACCGGACCTTCGTCGTTCCTCGCGCGGTGAGTCCAATCACCCCGTTCCTCACCTCAGACTGGTCTGAGGCTCTCAATTCGACCTCAATTTGAGGTGTCGGTGCTGGTAGATGTCTTTAGGTTGGTTCCTCCAGTCAGCTCCCCCATGCAAGCTCCAAGTCCACCAATCAGCCCCCGTCGACCCGAACCACCACCCTTCACCCCCCTGAACGCCGTTCGAACCCCGCAAGGCGGTGGTCGCTTTCAAGGCGGAGGCGCCAATCCAATCGGTAGGCGCCGTTCATCTTCAAGAGTCTCATGAGCACCGTCCGGGTGGTCGTCCCTGCCGGAGATCCGTCCCGCGAAGCCGGGCGGAAGTCGCCGAAGCTTGTCATGGTCAGTCAGCTGGGTGTCACATGTCGAAACCAGTCGAAGCGTGCCGTCCCGTCGCTTCTGGCGAAATCTGGTGGCGAAAAAGGAACGCCGACAAATCCACATGATTGTATAGCTATCTCCAGCCAATATGCCACTCAGCTTCCATGACACTTGAGACTGACCCATGCGTGAGCGGAGGAGAGAACAACAGCGGGTTGGCCTGCGAAATGCTTCAGTATGTTTCAGGAAGAGGTGCGTCAAAGATTGTTACGAGGCTCTGTTCTTGAAAAACGTCGCGACATGCGACATGCTTGATCCAGCGCTGGCTGGATGCCAGCTCCGTTGATGCGTTTTCTCATCTTCATCCCACCAAAACAGGTGGAAGCCAAACCGCCTTGGCATCTGCTTATACCATGTGTCCACCCAAGCATCTTTCAAAGAAAAAAGCATCGTCGGTCGTCGGCCCTTTGAAACGTCATCGTCCGGCCAGGCCACAGGTCGAGGTGTAGGTCGTCGTCACACAGCTGGGATAGTCTCCACGGAGCACCCCAGAGGCCTGGACGCCAAGAACCAAGAGAGGTTTTTCATCTTCACTATATAGCCTATATGGATCCCCTGCGAGTCAAAGACTATCAAAAGAATGGTCTGACGAACGGCGACCCGAGTTCAGGAATATGCTTTACTTCAGTGGGGCAAAATATCGTCGAACTGGACTTCTAGGGGATCAAAAAAATGGATCGATCTATGGATCTATATGGCCTAAATCCGTCCATCCCCCATGTTGTGCCCACCGGAGAGGTCCGAACGTTCAGGTCGACCACCGACGGAGATGGGCGCGTCGGACTCCAATTTCAGGGGCCAGAATGCACGTTGGACACGGCAGCTCTTCGGCGTTCGTCGCGTTTTTCTGGCTGGATCTCCCAAATCCAGGCAGGGGCTTGGAGGGTTTTCACGGCCTTCCGCCATCAAAAGCAGCCCTTCTCCAGCAACTACCTCCTTTCATCTTCTAGCAACTACCAGGAAACAAGGCAGGACACGCCCTCCCCTTGTTCGTGGCCATTTTCAACCCTCCACCCACCAATCCGGTGTTGGTGCGCCTGGCAGCTTAACACTTGCACGTCACCGAACCAACCATCGGCACAGGACACCATGCAATGCTGGCCAGTGACCTCGGACGAACAGAGCGACCTTCGAAGAAGAAACTTCAGTGTTTTGCATCGATCGGCGCGAGGGTTTATGGATGGTGAGGGAAGAATTGATGGGTCAACGATTTAGGGTGTCAGAACCATTCTGGAACGCACTGCCTTCGAGTCCACTTGTGGATTGTCTAGGTTGTTTCACTGGTTAGTTTTTCTCTACAGGTCCGAAATGTCCAAAGATTCAGTAGAACCTGGTCCTTTAAACCTCATATTGAGTCGTGTTTTTCTATCAACTCCGGGCAAAACGAGGTAAAAATTCTGACCTGTTTTTGGATTTGATGCCCAAACGAAGTCTCAAAGAACCCACGACCGGGTGTCCTCTGGACCCACTGCGGAGGCAACCCGGGCCCTGTCGGGTCACCCGACAGCGGCAGCGCGCTCTGCACCGAGCGGTGCGCTCCGACCAAGGCATGTCATATCCGTGGGGGTGATCCGAGTGAAAAGATATTGTCCTGAACACTTCGGTGTTGCCAAAAGTAGTCGAACTGAACAATGAAGCTGGGATTTGGATGGATTTGGGATGAACTGAATGATGAAACTGCATTTATGGACTTGATGTTCTACCTTCACCGGTTCACACGGTCCTGTTTCATCCCAAAATTGTTACCCGAAAGTGTGGTTTCCCCAAACATGTCCACATGTCGGAAAGTGGAGTGCAGTGGATCCAAGAGGTCAAGACGAACTTAGACGAACGTCAATTAGATGTCCACTGATGTTCTCAGGTGCTGGAGTACTTCCCAGAACAGTGCAGTATCCCTACCAGCTCCTTCCAACAGGTGGTTTTTTGAATCACCAGACACCTCAAATACGAAAGGTCCTCTTCTTTACAAATTCTTGGAATCCGTCAAGTCACTCTACCCGGTCCGAACCCAGGTGATCAAAAGCGACCTCTTTCCGCATGTCCCAGGCAGTCAAAACAACGACCCACGCCCGTGCAGATCAAGACACCACAGTGCTGCAGTTATGCTGGTATTCTACCTGCGCGTTTGTGCAGAAAAAACGACACAGAATGTTTTCCAAGTAAGTGAATTAGCCCAGCTGGAGACCCCAATAGCAAGATACAAACCGGGACAAAAAGAAAAATCTAGAAACAACTGCTGTTTTCAACACATCGACCATCTCTTCCTTGGACACCATCATCACATAACCGGGACACCATCACAAAATGACCAGGGCACCATCAAAACATGACCGAGACACCGTCACAACACGATTGGGACACCATCACAACATAACCGGGATAATTACAAGGTGACCGGGACACCATCAAAACATGACCGGGACACCGTCACAACATGAGCGAAACACCATCACAACATGACTGGGACACCGTCACAACATGACTGGGACACAATCACAACATGACCGAGACACCATCACAAGGTGACCGGGACATCAACATGACATGACGGGAAAAACATCACAAGATAACCAAGACACCATCACAACATGACCGGGACACCGTCACACCATCAATACATAACCGGCACACCGCCAAAACATGACCAGGACACCATCACAACAGGACCGGGACACCGTCAAAACATGACCGGGACACCATCACAACACGAC